GTTTGCTATTTTAAGGGTTGAATACGGATTTGATACCAAATAACGTAACAACAAGAAAATCTTTGATAATTGGTAAAACTCGAAACAGTAGTTAGCACAATATTTACCACGCAGTAACATTTGTAATATCTACGGAATAGCAAGAGTTCAAATTGATTGATAATAAATAATTTTATACATCTTTGATAGAATTCTTCGACAACCGTGCAACTTTCTTTTCAGTACAACAAAATCTTTAAATTCATTATTTAATGTTTTCAATATTAACATCTAGTCATAAACTTAGTTTTTAACTTTATACATATACTGAAGCCGATAACATATAAACTAGATTATCTAAATTATGGTAATTATGAATATCAATTTAATTTCAAGATAAAGAAATAATTGTAACATTTTTTATTGTATGAGTTACAATTATTTTTGTGGTTTTGTTTTAATAATATAATGAATAATTTATTTCTTTACGCTATAATATAGAATAATAACAGACCTATTCTGTATTATATTTTTAAGTTCTTATTGAACAGTGTTCAATAATAGTAATTTTTCTTGTTATATCAAAAAATGAACTATTTTTTGTTTTATTAAAGTTTATTAGATGGATTTAAAAAATTAGCTTTGAAAAAAAATTTCATAGGCATACAGTCAATTTAATAATATAAAAAATCTAAGATTCAAGTTTAAAATTTAAAAATTATCGAAATACAAATAGAATGTAAAACTGGTACCTGAAATGGCGATTCAGTACTGATTAAAGTATTTACCATCATATTAATATTTATATATTTTTAAGATATCATTTATAATAAAAATATGTTATAATCGATTTTTTAATAAATATATCATAATATTCTTAAATAAATATTTATTATGCAACAATTTTATCTAGTTAATATGAAATATTAATATTGGAAAATTGTAAATAAATACATAGATATTTGTAAAAGTAATATCAAATCAAACATGTATTTATAATTTCTTCTTTATTAAACAATAGTATATTTTATACCTTCCGTAACATTATAATAATAAATATGTTATAACAGTAAAATGATCTACATTAAGAATTTTAATATAATGGCAATCTAAATAATAAATATATTAAAACTGAGTTATTTAATAGAATGCAAATCGGTGACAAATTTTCCTAAAAAGAATAAAACTTTTTATATGCGAAATGTTTCATGTTTTTTACTACAAACATATAAATAAATTATTTTGTCAATTATTTTGCACATATGAAGAATTCTTTAGCACTGGTAGTGTGACTATTCATTCAATACCAATGGATAAATAGTAAAAACGTTACTTCTTGTTCAATATATATGGATAAATAGAAAAAAAAGAGAGTAAAGTACAGAAATATACTTTGAGAGGAAGCCTGTATCTGAGAGAGAGACAGAGAGAGGGTTGAAAGAAGATAAAAATCATGGAATAGATTTTTTTTTGGAAATATATGCATACTTATGATTATTATTGAAATTGGATGAACTGTCGTTTGTCGTTCAGTCATGCAAATGCGAGCAAGAAAAATGCTACTGACCCCAGATGTTACATATATGTTATCAAGATTTAATCTTTCACACAAGTAAAAAAGAGAGATAGAGATAGCTGGAAAGAGAGAGGGGTGAGAAACAGACAAACAGTAGCAGAGAGGCAGAGAGAGAGAGAGAGAGAGTCAGAGGGGGGAGTATATGAGAGTGAAATTTACAGAAATTTATATGAAAGAAGTAAAGAAAACATACACGTACAATCGTTTTTTATTTTGACTTAACTTTTTAACTCATATGAAAAATCCATCTTCCCTATATATTCAACGTGCGTTCAAAAAATTGAAATAATGAGAGAAAGAGGGAGAATGGATGGGAGAGAAAAAGAGGAAGAAAGTGAGAAAGAAGTAGGGAATTCATATTGTGCAATATATGACATAGTGGGGAGTGCATAGAAGACCTTTTATAGCTCATGGTGCCCGACTCTTGGACCGAAACACCATCGGTTCCTTTTGTGCGTCCGAGGTCATTGTTTCAGCCAGGATCTTTACGCAAGAAGTGCCCGCTTACTCACATATGTGCTTGTCGCACTAAAATATATGTGTGCATTTATGAACTTGCCTCTCTCTTTCTTTGTCCCTCCCTCGATCGAGCATTATGTTGTGCGTCGTAATTGTTTTTGCGTTCTTCGGTACTGACGCTTTATATTCTACTCGGGGATAAAATGCTAACATTCTCTTTCCTTTTCTTATTTTTCAATTGTTTCCGCTGCTGATGACGGTATTTGGCTCAAGAAAAATCGTTGAGTGGAAGCCATACTTGTATCTTTCTATCCTTTTATAATTACTTATTGGGCTGGGCATAAGATTCCCTGATTTCATATGGTTTTAATACAAACAACTTGATTAAATATGATAGCTAAAATTTACATTAAATAAAATACATATTTACTAAAATTTCAGAACAGATTTTACTCATTTATATTAGTATTTATATAAGAAATCACGAACTTCATAATTTTAATCTCAATTTCCGTTTAAAATGGATTTGAAATTATTTTAAGTTACAAATATTCTAAAAATATATGATTAAAAAATTTTATGAAAATTATGATATGATTTTAATGTTATTCTATTGCTATACTATTACTTTTTATTTGACTAAAATTATTATTTTGTATTCAACATTCTCAAAAGATTTTATTTTGTTCTTTCTATATTATCATATATAGAAATTTCATGATTTGAATTATGCGAGATTTGAATTATAAAAATTGAATAATAAATAAATAAAAAGAATGCTTATGAAATAACAAGCTTAATAGGATTAATAAGTTTATATAAAATATAGAACCAATTTTTATAAAATGCTTTGAAAAATTTAAGAAAAATTTAATTCTAAATTTCAGTGATCCTTCAGTCACTGGTAATAATTGGAATAAAAAATTATTTGATTAGACTTTTGAAAAAACAAATTGTGTATCATTAATAAAATAATTGGGTATTGTTTTCATAATAGCTTTTTTATTGCGTAACACTTGGCTGTTTATGTCAGAAAAAAGATAAGTACGTAAAATAAGGGTAAATAAAAGTGTATAGTTTCAATAGTTGTAAAAATTGGAATAATAATAATAATAATGAATAATATTAGTTGAAGAAGAATGCGGTGCTGCATTTCTTTTAGTCTAAACTCATACTATTATTTATTAGACATATAATGACTAAAAAAGATAGAGACATATAGATAGACAGGAAGAGCAGAGATCTAGAAAAAGTGAATAAGAGGAGAAAAAAGATTGATAGCTTCGATAAATACGTATATTAGAGTATAGGTAGGATTTGGCTTTTCTATTTCTGAGATTCGTGGTAGGCAACAGGTCGGAAACGTGCCTACTTTCCCTCTCTTTTGCTATGCTTATGAAAAGTCTCGTATGTGCTTTATCGGCCCCTCTATGAAGCTTTCATTTCAAAGCCCGATCGTTTCATAATTTGTACCCTATTGGTAATATGACGTAAATAATGACTTGTGAAGGTACGTTTTGCATTATGGAGAACTTCGATATTTTTTGCCAAAAGTATTAAAATGTAATTCGAGTGTAATATTATTATTCGCACCCACAACTAATATTATAATTATGGGATGAAATATGGTTAAATATATAAGGGCATACATATTTACTCAATGTTATCACTTAAAATTTCATTAAACTTTCGTATTCTACATAAATCTCTTGTGAATATTTTATAAATAAAAAAGCAGCTTAAAAATTGTTATTTATAGAATTTGGTGTAGGTTATTATTGAAACGATAGTTAAATAAATAAAAAAACAAATAGCTCAACTTTTATTTACGAAATATGCTTCTTTGATAAAAATTGCATAATTAGAAAATTACTTTTACTCCAATTTGAAGTTATAATTCAAATAATGAACATTTTCTTATAAAAACTTTTTCTATAATACAAGTTGAAAAATGAAATACTCGAATTAAGGAGAATTTTGATAACACTCAAAACAAAGGGTTTTCGCACGAACTGTAAACACGTTAGTCAGTGTAGGAGAGCCCAGGAACGCAGCGAGAAAAATCAATAAAACATCGCGACCGAGCCAGAGTCGCTGAAACTCGCCGACATGAAGTTGCCGCGGATGAAAAGAACCTAATGCAATGAATTGAATGACCTAGATTTCTGTACGCTGTGTCCGAGGCTAAGAACGCCGCCCAGTCTCAGCCTCAGCCCTGGCGCCTCCTCTTCACAATTACCTCTTAACGAGATTCTTATACGCGAGTCGGTAGAATTTCAACTCGGTTAATGTTATAAAACTTTTATTGTATTTTAATTATAGATCCATTACCGCAAATTATATGGTTAATATTACTATTAATGAACATAACAAAATACCTACTCTACGCTTTTTGATAGGGTCCTTATTATCTGTAGTTAGACTGTGCAATATGAGTCGTGATTATTATTATTATTATTATTATTATTATTATTACTATTATTCGAATTATATATAAATGTTTTTTAATGCAGATTTTGAACTGACAAATGCTATTATTTAAAGGAAGTAGATCTTGACAATATACTTAAGATTAATTAATTAACCCACAAAAAGTCTGTGGGTAATAAATAATAAAACCTTATTATGCGAAGCAAAGGTGAGTGAGTGATTCTCATTGCACCTATTCATTAACAATGTTTCTAGTAAGTTGTATTAAGTTATTGTTATAGAAAATTTTTATAAGACACGAGTAAATAAAATTATCATCTCTGCTAACGATCGATGCATCGAGCAAATAGCGACCGGAAAAGCCGATTGAAAACCAGCCGCAATGCGGGAAATGAATGTGGCATCACTCTCAATGAATTCATTGTCGGTGGAAGAAATATATACGTAATTTAAACAATTGGTGAACAATAATTGATAAATAACTTACGAGCAAATTTGACCTAGATAATTAGGAGAATCGCAGCAGACAATTGATGGTAAAATCGACGATACTCACCGACTACGAAGACCATATTCTTTGTCCATCGCAGAAGTTCCCGGCGAATGTGTTTTCGTTCCTGTATGCAGCGGGCATAGGGGCAATCCGCCATTTTTGAAATCACATCTTAGGGATGTGTATGCGTCCAGGCCGGCCTTGGATGTCAAGGATTTGCCCGTTCGCTTCCCTCGCTGCCTCCACCTGCAACACACAGATTTTCTTCTGTTATCAGACGGTGCATAGTGAGCCCTTGCAGCCTACCTACAACTTGCATCTATACAGACACTTTATAGTATAGAAATTGTCTAAAAGGTGAATATGCTTGCAAGAGTTTGTTCAAAGCCTTGGAGGTAAGCCTTGATGAATTGTCAACAATAATTCATATACACATTTTTACGTTGTTTTGCAATTGTGAAATATAATTTATAGTGCTCGTCTCATCATCCAAACTATATATTTTTATAGAAACAATTCATTATTATGAATGTTAACTGTATTCGCAAAAGTTTTATAAATATAATGTTGTGCTGAATTATTACCCGGTACAATGGCGTATTTGTATAAATATCTACTATTACAAGTACATAATCTGCATTCATCCTATGAACAAAATAATAAGTTAAGCATATTTCATCGGTTTCGCCAGATAAAGAATGCATTTAATGGAACTTTTTATGGACTTTGTATGGAATTGATATTAGTTTCTTTAATGTATTCACGAATGGATTTTAAATAATTTTGGTGTAAAATATATGTTTGTCATTAATTTTAAGAATAGTAATTTTATTCTTATAATTTTTATTTAATTTTAAGTACGTAATATTTCCTCATAAACAAATGTCATTTAAATCGACATCATTTGTATAATTGTATTTTAGTATTATATTGATCTAAAATATCTTCTTTCATTAAATTATTCAGGAGTATTGCATTACTAAATGGCTAGAGAGAGAAAAGAATAAAATTAATAACTTGTTATTTTTCAAGAGACCGATAATATTTTTTACAGTATGTAAAAATTCAAGTAAAACTATATTAAGATATCTACAATATTATAAAAGATATAGAAGATATATATATATATATATATATATATATATATATATATACAGACATATTATAAAAGATACAAATTATTTATGAATTAATACATCATAGTGTAAAATTTTATACAAATTATGAAAAAAAAATAAAAAAATTATTAGAAATGTAGGTGGTTACATTAAACGAACAATTTTTATAAAAGATAAGTGATTCTATTTTTTTTGTTAATTAATGTTTATAAGTTCTCTACTTTAGTAATATTCTGTTGTCATTTGTTAATTATAATTAATTTCAATTGTTTCAAAGTTTTATATTAACAATTATTCATTTTTATTTTTATTAAATATACTAATATCAGCATTTTAAATTAAATAATGAAGTATAGATCGTTAGTTTGACTAAATTTAAAATCTTCATATAAACATTGTTCAACTTTTAATCTTCTACCATTATAAGCTTGTAATACGCATTTTTCACTACATTTTGTTATAATATTAATAATATTGATTTTTTAGCATAAAGAAATTGTCTTATTTATTTCATAATAAAATACTTCAAATTAAATTTAGCAACGTACTCCTTTAATCAGATGTAATTCAGATGATAAATTATATCTATAATATCGCATTATTTTACATCTAATTTTTATAACATTTACAAGTTATTATTTCATAATAATCCTATATTAATATTATATTTTACTGATAATTTATATGTATATTAGTATTGAAATTAACATCGAATATTAATTTTTAAAAAGTAATCCTTAATAAAATACCAGGTTAGATGCAATTAGGTATTTTGCAGACTTTTTTTTAATAAATATTTTATTAATTATATAATTTCATGAAGTTATAATAAAAACAATCCATTATTATTTATTTTACATAAAATTTTTAACAAATATACAGTGTGAATGTTTAATTATTGTTTTTAATATTAATTTATTAATATGTTAATTTATTGGTTTTCTAATAATATTTCTAATAAAAAAATAAATGAACGTGTCTTACCTTGGATAAAACCAAGGTACAAATTTATGATTGAAATTTCTGACATATATTAAATATACTCAATTAACTTAATACTTGCTCTTTCATAATTAATGCATATATATTTAAATATATAATAAAAGTATTTATGATTTTTATTTGACTGAATTTACTATGTAATTTCAAAAATTTTAAAGTGCAAGAGTTTTGAAATCAATGCTTTTGTATCATCGATTGAAGCATGTTTGTTTTGTCGTCATAAATAATAGCATAAATATGAAGGTTATTGTTTTCATCAAACAGAGAAAAATTAATTTAATTTTGAGAAAAGCATGTTAAAAATTACCCAGTGATTTGAAAATATGGTAATTGAAAATAAAGCTACAGACTTACGGTATTTTAATCTTCTATCTTATAATTTATTTGAATAACGAGTTGTAAAAATGCTACAACAGTTTGAAATACTACTCCGAATGAACCAAAAGCAGAGACAAAGCATCCATAGCTTCAGTTTCGACGGCAGTATGACTCTTATTAAATCCCTCATTTGTATAGCCATAAATTTCTGAGCAAACATGCAATCTAGTTAACAAAAGACACTCACCTCGAGTGTTCGTGTGCTCTGTCCTCTACAGGCAGCTCCTCAAGATATTTACTGAAACCTGTGTATAACCAGCTCGTATGCTCGGCTTTTCCTTGCTTCTTCAAGTTTCGTGGACACCTGCAAGCAGAAAGTTAGCTACGTTTCTGAGTAGCTCTCGAAAGGATTTTGAGTGTGAATGATCAAGTTTTATCAAAGTCTATTATACAGAACTCAATTATTTTTATTAGCCTATAGGCTACAGGGACTATACGCATTATTTACTTGTAGAATAAGTAGTTGTTAAACCCAATAAAAACTATTTTCAACATAGGTATATAAGAGTGTTTGTGAGATGACTATTCTATATTGTACGGAACCTGATATTGTGAAATATTGAAATGATAGTAAAAAAAAGTAGCCTTTATCTATTATATTGAATATGCATTACTATTTAAAAAACAAAACAAAAAACAAAAAACGTGACAATACATGTACAAATAAGCTATACAATAATGAATGCTAATATTCATCATTATATGAGATTGGCATTTTATAATTAAGAGAGTGAATGAAGCCATAAATATATACGTGCAAATAATTCCATATATTAAACTAATAATGGAACGATAATTTAACTATAAATAATAGAAATAATAATGATACCATTAATAATAGTAAAATTAATTTCAGTTGTTAATAGAATACAAAATTAATGAGTCATATATAAAAAATATTAAATTTAAATAGTCGAGATAATATTCTTTTTGGTATTAGTATGCAACTACAAGTAAATAAATTGTATAAGGAGAGTGTACAATGATATATAATTTTAAGTTACAAATGAAATAATATTTTCATATTTTTTCTCAAAAATATGAATTATATTTAAAACTAAAAACAACGTATAAATCATATGTTGTAGCTACGGGTTTATTTTTTTGTTCAATACATGAAACAAAACAAGCGTCATGTACTTTATCTATTAAATATCGATTGCTGTTAATCCTCAAAATTAACATAACCACTGTACGCTAAATGGCTCCTGATCGGTTACAACTCGAAAATGCGATTTCGTGGGTGCATTATACATAGCTCAACTATATACTGTAGCGGCAATTCGTGAGTTGGCGCGCGCTGCAACAAGTTGACCACGAATGGAGCGCAGGAGAGAAGAGAAAAGCCCGTTTGCATGGATTTTCGAGGTATGACGAATCGCATTAGTTGGAGTATTTCTCATCTTCTTTACAGCCTTTTATCGAAAAGAAAAGAAAAAAATCTAAATTTAAATTTTGCTCAAAAGTCCTTTAATCCAGAATAAACATAATTCATTCGACACATTTATTACATGCGAAAAGAATTAAATTTACATTCCTTCTTTTCTTTAAAATAAACAAGTGTAAGCTTGTATTTTATTATAAGCTTAATTATAAGCTTGTTCATTGAGTTTAAACTTTTATGTATACTGGTGCTCGATACATTTATTTTCAACCATTATTTTTTATACACTGATGAATTTCACTGACGAACAGTAAATATTCAAATTATTTATTTATATTCGATGGCTAATTACTGTTTAAACTTTATAAATTAACTATATTTTATAAATAATGCTTCGTATTAAATACTATTAAATAAAATTCGATTTAAATTAATTGCTTCATAGATGTTTCTAAATTTTATCTTTTATTTACTTTATCTCTATAATATCTCTACTTGACCTCGTCCTCTTTATGTATGTATATATATATATATATATATATATATATATATATATATATATATGTAATTCCATTTATTATATTTCAATGAAAATATATTATACAAGTTAATGATTATTATAATGATATCTATTACATTTATCAAATTATAAAATTAATTTATTATTTTCGTGAACCATTTTATATAAAATTGGTTTATTAAATAATTAGGCATTTAATTTAGAAATTATTTTTTATAATTAAATTAGGTTTGACTGTTTATATTAATGATTTCATAGTTGAAATTAATTTTAGTAAAATTCATACTAAGATCTGAACATTAATATGAGGACTTTCTTTGAGACTCACAATAGACTCTTAAAGGTCTCTCTAAAATACTGGTCATTTACAAACATTTATAAATGTATATAATTTTGTTCATTAACAGTAATATTATATTTTCTATTATGAATCATATAGTTCAATTAAAATAAAGTGTTTGTAGGTTCCCTAATCATAAGAAGTTTTAAATTAAATATACAAGCAATATCAGAGGAATCGTTGCTCAGAAAGATTATTTCTAAAATTTTCGTATTACTGTGTTAAACAATTTACAGTGCGTTGTCGTTTTAGATTACATTAGCAAGCCATTGTCCCCCTCAATCCTTTCCTCTAAAAATAGTGATGAAATTTCCTTTCACCGTGGTAGAGGTACTGGACGCACACAGTTTAGGCGGCTGTATCTCTCGATACAAGAAGTTACTATATTTAAATGAAACATTGTCAGTAAGAAGAGTGTCGACCGCCGCGTTTATTATCGCTCTCGTCGTATCTATCGGCTGCCGCCCCCGCCGCTGTTGCTGGTAGAGCGCCAGAGGGGCAACAACGGCGCGTTAGGGGTGGCTCTCACTTCCACATACACGCGCCTCATCTTTAGGAGAAACGATGCGACGCGGCAACGTCGGCGATAAAGGGAGTGAATGAGAGAGGGACATGGTAGAGAGAAAGAGAAAGAGAGAGTAGAGAGAGACAGAGAGAGAGAGAGAGAGTAGAGAGAGAGAGAGAGAGATAGATAACGAAAAAAGAGAAGCTCACGCGCCTAATATGCAACAAGAGAAAAAGAATTGGCGATCAATAGGTAGTAGCTGGTAAGCGTCCTTTCATCTGTCCTTCCTCCTCCCAGTAACTAGCGCACCCCGCGTCACCTTCCACCGTCTGTTTCGTCCTTTCCACCTGCAGCTCCCTCTTGCAGCTCCCTTCTGCAGCCTCCCTCGAGTATCGTCCCTTCGCTCACTTGCATTATCACCATTCCCGCAAGAGTCCTCTTTCATTGCCTTACGTAAGCGCAGCCACCGATGTTTCAGCCAGCCAATTGCCTTTTTTCCGTTTTAACTATACAAATAATGGCCCCTAAACAATTTTTACTTTTTTAGTAATAAGACCATTCTTCCTTACCTGCGCTTATTAATGCTTTTACGGCACCCCTCTTATCGCTATCACTATGTCGTTCGTCTTCATTCTCACGAAGACGAATTAATTCAGTAATATTAGTGGAGATACTATACTACAATAGGCTTGTTCGTGACAATTAATTTTCTTATTAGTAATAAACTTCTAAGCTAAAGAACCAAATATTTACGTTATTAACAAAATGTTCTGCTTCAAACATTGATATAAGTTATTTTGAAGTAAAATAAAAGATTGTTTATAGCTGATAAAGACAGAGAATTCATTTGGAAAGATTTTTATCTTTTTTATCTTATAAGGGCGAACTTCCTACTCCTTATGTTTTAATTCATAAACCTAATAAGGAAATGATAGCTAATAAGAAAAAAATTAAATTAAAAATAAACTTCATAGAATCATTTGCAAGCACATCAGCACTAAATTTTATTTATTTAATTTATGTTATTATTTCTCGACAAATTTGATCAATTTTGTGAATTATTAACATATAAAATTATCGTTAATAACAGTTAAATTAAACATGATGACTAAAATATATCTCTGATCAATGATAATAATATAATCTTTCAATGCACTAAACTCAATGTGAGGATCAAAGCTAAGAATGGTTTGAGTTATGAACTAGACGTGAGATTTTAGTAGAAATACTTTTTCACTTCACTGATAGAAGATTACTAACCTGTTGCTTTTGAATCTTCTTGATACATTTAATTTATTTCAGATTGTTTTATAAAATTTGTAAGCACTTTTTTACATACAAAGAGAAATAATATTTGTTGAATAATTGTAGTAAACAAATATATTTAAAAAATAAAATTATTTAAGTCGCATATTAAAGACATCAACATAATTATAAAATTGATATCAACACCGGTTACAACGGTGTTTATGTTGAGTTCAATTTATACTTAAATCATAAAGATACAGATAAAAAATAATACATTAAAATTAGAATAAAAACACATTTATATAATATTCTGATTATATATACATAGACACATATATACATATATAAATAACAAAAAATATTGAGTGTGACAAACTAAAATGTGTTGATAATGTAAACAAAATGAACTTAATTATTTATTTGGACATAACAAAAATGCGTTTTAAATTTTATTCTTGATTTTTCAAAGTCAATATATAATCAATTTATCTTTATAATTATATATAATAATACATATATTGATAAAAAAAATATAGTTATGATTAAGTAAATTGATATGTTTAAACAATAATTCATAATAATAATAAATATTTCTATAGAAAACCATTAAGTTTTTATGTAATAACATTTTATTAAAAAATTTGTTATATTGTTTTATTTATTTTTATTGTTATAGTTAAAATCTGTATTGCAAAGATAAAAATTGAAGTGCATAATACTAGTATATTCGAGTCTAATAATATAATGAAATGAAAATTAAATTAACAATATTTAAGATTATTAATGAATTTTAATATTTTATTAAACAAAAATAATAAATGTAACAATTTTTAATGTACGTAAAGATGTTAATCAAATAGAATATGCAAGTTTTACAGTATATATAAAATAATTAAAATTGAAAATAATAATTAAAATAAAGCACAGATTTCTGTAATTAAATATTTCGTTAAAGTGATACGGTATTACATTACACCTATTTATAAAATACATGATAGCTACTTGAGACATAAAAGAAGCACGTAATATACTAATTAATTTTAGTTTATAAATGTAGTGAACATACATTTGAATTTCTTTTTTAATTAATATATAAATTGTCATTTTTGAAATTCACACTAATTAATTTATTTCACAATTGAACAACTTTAATAATATACCTGTATAATTCTTATTATATACTTCTAAATTAGAATAATATATTATTGCTATTGTTATTTAAAAACAAGAGAAAATATTGATAAACTAATATATTGGTAAATGATAATCTATCTATTTACATATTTACATAACTCTGCACA